GGGGGGGGGGGGGGAAGAAGGAAGAGAGGCTAGATGAGGGGAAACATCGCCGGGCAGAAAGCTCGTGGTGGTCAGGAAGGGAGGAGGTTAGATGGAGCGAGGTGCAAAAGGTGAAAAACAGTTTGCCATCAGCATAACCGGTTTCGCGTATCTCTGAACGGGTCTCTCTCTTTCTCCCTTCTCCTGCTCTCTCTCTCTCTCTCTCTCTCTCTCTCTCTCTCTCTCTCTCTCTCTCTCGCTCTCGCTCGCGCGCTCTTCCGAGGATCTCCCAATCCAGGCAACGGGGTTTCGCTCAACAGGATCGCTCGCTTTCCTGATGATAGTCGAGTACTGGCTACCGGTGGCGGTGTCCTTGTACAGTTAAGGACATTATCTCGTCTCCTGCCCCAAATTCCGCAGGAGATCATATCGCGGATTGTTTTCGCGCCTCGTCTCGCTCGTGGATCACGCTCTGAGCCGAGCGCTGGACCATTCGCTCCGCCACATCTGCTCGAGACTAATAACTCCTCGCGTTATGATCCCAACATACCGCAACGGCAATTTAACGAATGAGACGAACGGCTTCGTATGCGGAACTCAATTTAGATCGCGATCTGTTGGATCGTCCTTTCGTACGTATTCGCATGGAAAAAGAAGTTTGATTGTATCAACATCAAGTGTAGTTGTGATAAACGCGCGTAACAACGCGTTCTACTTGAAGGAAACGAAATTTCGGGTTTTTAGTACCAAATTCAAGTTATAAGAAGCATCAAGAAATTCTGCGTTCTTCAATTAAAATGCTCGTTCGTTCGTTGAAACCAAACTTCACGTTAATGCAACCAAACTTTTCTCTCTGTGTAGGGCTTTAGATCCGTATTAATAGTAATTACTTGAAACCCATCTCAAGTGAGACATCCATATTTGAATTCAAAGCATGGTGAAAGTTTCCTAGTTGAATCACGATTACAGATATAAACATATCGCACTCACATGATTCAACGAAAAAACTCGGATCTAATTCCGAATTAAAGTCTGAATGTCTTTCACTCAAAGTGGCAACTGTTAATGCGAGTCCTAGATCTTTCGAAATGGTATAATCTGCTTAGATCACTTGTAATCGATTTCTCAACGTGGAATACCTCGGTAGAGGCTAGTCACGCCCAAATTCCCGACGTCAAAATTCGCTCGAATGGGAACGAATTCAGGTCGTTCTCCAAAACCCATAAATCACCATAATTCCTTGGCGAGTGAATTATTTAACTCGCGTCGATGATTTCAGCCGTATTACGCAGACTCACACACAGCTTCCGAAATCTCTTGTTGCAGATTCAGTGTTCACGTCGGGGACGCAGTTGAACGTGGCGAGCGCAGTAGTCGGCGGCGGCGATCACGTCGCGCTCACCGGGTGAGCCAGGAACAACAACGATGTTACGCAGTCCCTCGGCGAGATGCGCCAAGCGCGTCTTCGTCTTCCTGTTCGCTTGGGGCCTGCTGATGATCGCGGCGGTGCAGTTCCGCCACCTGGAAAACAGGGCGCTGCGGGACAGTATACCCACAGCCGAGGAGGGCGTCGGCAACCTGGCGGAGATTGCCGACGGCACCGGCAACGAACGCGGCGCCGCGAGCCGCTCCTCGGGCCTGGCTCTGACCCGCTACTTGTTGCAGAGATCACTCGGCGAGTCCGGTGGTGCCGCCAATTCCGCGGGCAACGGCGCTTTCTCGACCACCCTGACTACGATCAGGAACCGTCTGGAGGCGACCAAGAGCCCCCTCGAGCTGGAGCCGTTGCTAGACAAGAGACCAGCCAAGACTGAGCAGCAGTTGATCGAGGAGATCGCCGAGAGGATACCCAGCCTGCCATTAAGCGACTGGACCAAGAACAACAGACAGAGCCAGAAGAAAGGCAACGACAGCTGCGCGAAGTACCCGCAGATCTACGATCTGGAGTTCAATAATATCTACTGGCAGACGCTGCGCACCAGCAACGGCACGTTTCAGTTTTTCGGAGCGTTCTATGACAACCGGCGGCTGTCGAAGATCGGGCCAGCGGTGAGAATCGTCGGGATGATCGATCGGATCGAGCCGACCGTCAAGACGTACTGCCAGTTGTGGTACGACGGCGAGCGGGAGCCCAAGATCGTCGAGACGCTCGAGTACAAGTACATCTGGTACGCCAAGTGGGGCAACTACAAGCAGGGTATCTATCAACCGTACGTGATAGCGTGCAGAGTGCCGCCGCAGGCATCGGGCAGGCCGCCCTCGTCCGTCTCGATGGTCGAGAAGCGTTGCGACACGGCCAGCAATAATCTGCGGGTGATCTACAACAAGCCCGAGCGGAAGAAGGACTTCGCCGTGTGCGTGAAGGGTCTGGACTTTCTGCACGAGGACCTGTCGGTACGGCTGATCGAGTGGATCGAGCTGATCAGCCTGTTGGGCGCCGACAAGATCTACTTCTACGAGCTGCAGGTGCATCCAAACGTGACCAAGGTGTTGCAGCATTATCAGAGCCTGGGTATGGTACACGTGACTCCGTTGACCCTGCCGGGCGGCCAGCCGAACGTGCCGGCCTTCCAGCACATGTACCTCACGAAGAAAACCAACCACAAGCGGCAGAACGAGCTGATACCGTACAACGATTGCCTGTACAAGCACATGTACGAGTACAAGTACATCGCGCTGTTGGACGTCGACGAGGTGATCATGCCCGTGAACGACGCGACCTGGCAGGACCTGATGCGCCGAGTGCTGCCGAAGGCGCTAAAAATACGGAACGAGACTCGCGCCTCGTACAACGTCAGGAACGTCTACTTCCTCGACGACCTACTGCACTCTCATGGTTACTTCAAGGACATACCCAAGTGAGTAAGACTTCTACTTTCACGCCGCGGCTCTCGGATCGGCCGTTAATCGGCCGCCCGTGAAGGGAACGCGAAGGTGGATGGCTTGCGGAACCCGCCGGCCATCGATGTCACGGTTCTCTTCCGACGGAAACGCGATTATGAGCGCGGGATAAAAAACGCGATAGACGTCGGGTGAATTTGCTCTTCGCGATAAGAAACGTTCCTGTGATGATTCATCCTTGCGCGCATCTTAACTTTTGTTTTATCCTCACGTTATTCTCTTCAATTCGTATCGTCTCAAATTGCTAATGAGCTCAAAACGCTAAACGTGCAGATACAAAGGGCGCGTTTCGTGTCTCTAAATTGGAATCAACCGATTATCATATCAACGTTTTATAAATCATTCGCATCTTTACGAGATGAGATATATAAATTTGGAAATCGATGGAATTTGAAAAAATCGGGAGGTAAATTTAGTAAAGGTAAGTTACACCGAGAGAAATTATTCGACAAAAAACTAACAAACGGATATTTCCGATCAAAATAGCACACAATGAATTTTTATATCCTATTAGGATATTCAATTAAATTTAATCGAATACTTCCGGCCATAATGGCATTTCATCAGATAAACCGATCAAAAAATTATGAACCGATATTTCTTATCGGATGTTTCCTGATCGGATATAAAAATTCATTAGTTTTGATTGGAAATACTGAATAATTTCTTTCTATGTAGATATGAGTAGATATTAAATGTTAAATAGTTATCAACCGTATTTCATTTTAATTCTGTAACAAAAGGCCTGTAAAAGCCAAATATAGGATCAAGATGTGTCAAAATTTATAATTGTTAGCTTAAATAAGAAATAAGTAATAAATATATGACATGCATATAAATACATACATGTACAAATGTTTCGTTCTTAGCCTTGGACTTTTCTCGTCTGTTCTTTTAACAGATTGATCAAAATACCATTTCGATATAATGCGATATTAATAACATGCTTCTTTTTTTATATAAACTAGTAATTATTAATTTTTATGTATTTTTCTCTCTCTCTTTCTCTTATGGGCCTTTTATTATGGAATTTTGATTGTACGTCATAGAGCCTTCTATTAATCTATATCTCGTTTTGACAAAAATTCCACAAATACACACAGAAAAATATATGCTGCATTCAAGTAAACCTACTCGTTTCAAGTAATTCATAAGTTTACGCACTCGCAAATTTATCATAAATTTACCATAAATATCTAATTTATTCAAAATACATTTCAAATCTTAGTGGGTTTAGCATTTCAGTTAAGAATATTAAATTGAAAGAAAAATTCACACGTGCGATTTTATTACTACATAGAATCAAATCAACTTTTTCTTCAATTTTTTATGGTTTATGATATTCTTACAAAGAAAATAAATTTTTTATAAATTTTTTAGTACATAACAATGAGCTGTTTTAAAGTTTGTAATGTAGAATGAGTATATCTAGATAGTCAAATCTGCAGAAGCAGAGTTTACGCAGTGTCTGTTGTAATTTCGTCGCCAGCTTGGTAGCAGAAAAGCAACAGGATACGATAGCAGTTTGACTACGGAAATCGAGCAGGATGCGTCGTTCCGTAACCATTTGAGCGTATTTAAATGGAATATACTACAGATCCTGCTGAGTTTCTGTCGTCAATCTGCTGCTCAAAGTTACGTTAGCAAACTCTGTCGACAGAATACAAGTTTGATGCGGACACAGATGAATATGGATTCGCCATGGTAGTCGGATCGCGAGTCTGCTGCATACTGCTCCTCCTGCAATCTTTTAACATACTGCTAACATTTTGCATATTGACATTATTTAAAAACTATAATCAAGAAAATATTGTCGAAGACAACTATTATTTGCAAGAAGGAGAGAAAACTGAGTAATCGCTTGTCTTAGCAGTAGAACGATATTTTTCTGTGTGTACACTGAGAAAAGAAGTAGTTGGATCGACAAAATCGGCGTTAAATCGACTAAATGTTCGCTGGAACAAATTTCTTCATTCAAACAAAATGTCAATAACTCAACAACTTTTTTCCTCAATGTACTTATTTTCATTATTTATCACGGAAATATCGTCTTGCGGAGTTTGAGGGGTTCTCATGCCATCAAACTTTCGTTCTGGGAAAACAAAGGAAATGTCTAACCCGCATAGAAATTTCGTAGTATTTTCCCAAATACAGATTAAATTCCAATCAAAATGCTCAACTTTGTCCCAAAGTAGATTATCCCAGTATGATACCAATTGAGAATCCTATTCTTGTCCCAAACATGACTTCTCTGTCTAGAATCGGAACAATATTAAGAAAATTCGAGTTTTTTAAAATGCTTTCTGTATCAGTTTTATTAATACAACAAAGACAATACAAATATTTTCTCTGGCTTACACTATGTTAAAACATAAAATAATACATTTTCGTTTTATATGCATTTATACATCTGAGGATAACTTGACGATTTCATACATTTGTAAGTTGGCAAAATTTCTCGGATATTTATATATATTTTTTTACTTTCTTAGCTCAGACGTCTTCTATTACAATTTCTTCATAATGATTTTTTCGCAAACATTTTGAATATTTTTTCTTTAGACATATGTGTGTATATGTTTGTAACGAGTAAATATTTAAAGTATTTCATATATTTTGTTTAATTTTAAAATATAAACTAGAAAAATCTTTGGAAATGACTAAATGGAACTCTGTATAGTTTTCTCACTTAGAATCGTATTAATAGTCGTTATACGTGAGACACTCAGATTTTCATTATATCCGATCATTTTTTCCAGTTGAATTATATGTTATTTGTGTCATTACGTCTGTAATTGCGGCTCAACTAAAAAACTCTCAAACTCTAACTCTGAACTCAAATCTGAATCTCACTTCAGAGAAGTTTTAAGTAACGACTATTGATACAGATTTCAGATTCGCATGTTTAAAACATTACGCTTCTAACCAGAACCTGCATAAATCGCCCATAACCTACAATTATTGTGGAAAATCAAGCTGGATTCCAATCAGACCCCAAAGTATTTCCCATGCGGGAATTTATCGTTGGACGTTTATTGCCAAGAAGTGTCAGTTTGGCCGGCAGTAGGTCGGCGTAGAAAGCCCTGCTGATACGAGCGTATCACCTCGCAGGTACATGCACATGCTGCAGCACGTGTACCGCTCGAAGAACTTCACGAAGCCGAACCAGTACATCAAGTGCTTCCACAATCCGGAACGGGTGGTCACCCTGCACAACCACTTCCCGCTGGCGTGCCTGGGCGCCGGATGCACCAGCTACCCCATTGAGACCGAGGACGCGCAGCTGCAGCATTACCGGGCCGACTGCGTCAAGTCGCTGAAGAAGACGTGCGAACAGTACCGGGGCAATAGTGTGGTGGACACGACGATATGGCGTTACAAGGACAAACTGATCGACAGGGTCACCAGCACGCTGAATACACTCGGCTTCTTCGGCCCGAGATAGCGACGACGAGCAATCTCTTCTCCATCACTCCTTGCTGTTCGTTCTAGCCTCTCCTTCCCTACTCCTCCTCCTCCTCATCCTCCTCCTCCTCCTCCTCCTCCTCCCCCTCCTCGTGTTCCCCAAGTTCCAATCGATTTTCGAGCGGTTTAGTAAAAGGGGTTTGCGCGCGAGCTCGTGAATCCAGTCTCGAGAGGTGACCGCCGCTGGAAACTCGATCGGAGATTTAATCGGGGAGACACATTCTAGATATCGATGTAAACGGTAAACTGGATTCCAACAGCGGATCGTGATATCACAGTCTCGATCGTCGTGTAAACGAGACGTCCCATTCGCTGGCGACGTTCATCCGGGAGACACGCGACAGGATGGTCTATCGGATCGCTCGCGCGATCGGGAAGATCGGTGTATTACCGCTTAATGAGCGCGGATGAGAGACCAGGAAGAGATACCGCGAAGGTCGTCGTCGTCATCGTCGTTCGTTCCTTTTTTTCTTTTTTTTTTATCAGCGCTCGAATCACGACGCGTATTGTAAGCGTCGGGCCACTTTTGGCGGATGGAAGCTGAGGCGACAAAAGAAGCGACAATGAAAATGAAAACAAAAGCACGTTTAACGAGATAATACTCTGGCTAGCAGCTCGTCGAACTCGGCTAAGTTCTCGAGTTCTCATTGGAGTCTTCATTACGCGAATGCGATCTTTCTCTCTCGAGAGAGAAAGAGAGCTATCAAACGACCATCCGCGTCCCGGCGAATCGCAGCCGAATCAAGTTGCGAACGATTTATGTTTCTACGCGGAAAGCCATTACGGCCGATTTACGCGGCACCGATTAACACGGTAGTTCTCGCGCACCCGTTAGCCCGCGAATCGCGGGAATTATCTCTGGGTCAAGCGTAATTGCGGTTCGATTTATATACGACGACGAGTCACAAATTCTCGCCGATCCCGACAACAAGCTGATCGCGGCGCGGCCGGATTACGGCTCGCGACAGCCTGCAGTATTTCGTTCTTCTTTTTTTCCTGCTGTAAATAATTTCTCCCGAGTCTTGCGTGTATGCTCAATAGCAGGATTTACGGGTCAGCGATTGATCGGTACATAGTCCATCGCCCATAGTCTGTGACACTGCGAGCGAAAGTGGCAACGAATCGGCGAATGTGTCGCGGTTAAGTGTAATCTACAATGTGCTTCCTGCTTCTTGTTCATTGTTCTCTTGTTCACTATGTGCTCTTTTCTTTCTGTTTCTTGTTCTCTGTCCTTTACTGGCTTAAGATTTGAGTTAAAAAGAGATGAAGAGAAAGAAACGGGAAGCAGAGAACACATTGCAGATCAAGCTTTACAGTCGAGAGGTATATCGCTTGATGGTCGATGAAAATTTGACGAAACGATTTAGTTAGTTTTCTGTTTGTTAAACTAAGATGCAAGGGAGTTGTGTCGTTGTGTCGTAACCGGGCAACAGAGTTGCACTGAGTCGCGCTACGGCGCGAGAGCATATTTTCGCGTCTGTGCGACAAGAAGATTCAGGATGCAGGATTTCGCCTTCTGAACGCGCAACTGTTGCAGAATATTCGGTTGGAAATGATAGTTGAGAAGCGTTGCCATACCGTTCCGACGACTGAAACGCTGTGTGTTTAGAATATAAATACTGTTATTAATTAAGACTACTCTTTTAGTGAATCCTCCGCGCGAGGTCGCAAGGTAGCCTACATCAGTCGTAGATTTATGTGAAACGGAAGCCAGAAACTGTCCGAATTGCCCGTTATCGCTGCGTGATAAGCGAGAAAATAATTGGAATCACAGGAAAGCCGAGTGATAAAAGACTATTACAAGTTTGGTTTCATAACGCATTTCAGCATCTCTGAAGTGTTTCTCTTGTATCTTTAAGACTTAAATTAATATTTGTATATATATATATATTTTTTTTAACATACAACATGTTTCTAAATCCTATTAATTAAATTTCAATACTCCATATAGCATATTTAATAAAAATTATTATAAGATTAATTTATAAAGTATTTAATAAAAATTATTATACTTTGGTTATCTTATAATAATCTTTATTAAACGGGAAAATTTTGAATACACAAGTGTTGTGTTAATAGAAATTGGCAATAGCGTCAATTTGAACAAATCTTCCTTCAACAGCAATTCTAGTAAAATTAATTTTGAGTCATTGAAACAATATATGATGTATTGGTTTCGTATGGAATTGCTGTTGAATCAAGAAGATTTACTCCAATTTCGAATTTTGGCAATTTTTACCGAAACATTTTTTTGCGTATTGTTTTTTCCTCGTTCTTTTCTCTTTTTTTCCTTTCTGTTTCGCCAAATCTGAAATCAGCCGCATTGCGACTTTGGGGAGAGAGTTCTTTCTTCTGCTTATGGTGAACCTCGATCGCTTTCTGCACGACGATGATCGACAGTTTTTTCGAGACTCGATTACAGCGTCGCTTCCAGAAGCGAGAAGGCGATTCACGTTACACCATGAGTTATATTGATATAACGGGGACCATTGTAGATAAGAGCGGATTGTTGCGCGTGACGTTGTCGATTTTAAAAGCGCAAAGTCAAGGCAATACTGCATCGTGCGGATGCGGGGAAGCGCGTCAACTTTCGAACGGAAACACCAGCGAGTGTTGGCGAAATGGTGCCTTTGTTTTTAGCTGATGTATATCCTAATACTTAGCGTTACATGTGATCCTTACTCGCGCCTTTCGCTACTATTTATAAAGTATATGGATTTCTGCGAATTGGTCGGCAAGACCAAGAAAATTCGACTGAATATCTTGCGTGAGCCAGTTACTCGTGGTTGTTTCGTGAGACGAGGCGTTTCTATTCGACTCTACGATCTTCCGGCAACGTGAGGGAGAGCGTGAAAGCGTTTTCGTCTATTTGTACATATCATTAAATTCCTATGTAACTATTAACTTTAAACTCCGTTGCGAAGATAATAAACGACTGCACGAGGAAAATGTAAACCTGCATTTCTTACTTCCTCGACATGATTCAGTGCGTCGCTAAGGATTTTCCACGTTACGTGTGTCATCGTGCATTATAGTAAGTACACTCCATGTGTACGCAACACATGATTGAGAAGCGCGGAAATTTAATGTTAGGAAATTTAATGTTAGGAAATTAAAAGACACCGCAATTGTGACAAAGACACACGAACAGAAATCTTCAGGCTCCATCTGAAGGAAATGTTGCAGTTGAAACCTTTCGATAGAATGCTAACTTTTTCTGCAAAGTTTACGTGTTGTATTGATTCTATAGAATACTTTTACATCATAAAGGTACATGTCAGAATGAATTGGAGCATTGCTCAATATATAACGAAAACGATAAAAAATTTCAAATTATTTCGAGTGTGAATTAGCCTATCAGACGCTGTCATTCAAAGTAAATATTCTTCTGATACAAAAGATTTATAACTTGAACGCAAGTTCAAGTTTGCTTTCCGCTCAAAAAATGTTCAAAGAACATTGCTGTGTCTTTACATTTGAATTTAGGAACTCAAAATCAGAAAAATTTGCTAAAAGAAGACTTCTATATATATATATATATATATATATATATGGTTAAATTTTCCTAAATATGGACTAAAAACAACACATTTACGTAAAATATTTATAAGAAATACGAAAAGCATGATTGTGTTAATAATAACGTCTCTATGTTATCGATATTTTTGGAGTTTATCATCCACTTCAGCATCCCTTCAGGGTGAATTTCACCAACCTAGTTAAGCCAACCGACGATTAAACTCTAATTACTAGAAATGTCAATATCGAAACTGAATACAAATTGTCATCAGAATTCAATCCTCTTTAATCAGAATTTCAATTCTCTTTTATCAATAAATATGTCTTTAATAATTTAAAAGTCATATTTCGGCATATTTGTCGATAAAAGAGAGTTGAATTATACAATTATTGGGATTCACAGTCGGTTTGATAATAGAAGGTTTAATTCACCGCGTTGAACCATGTTGAAAGTCCGGAGAATCACTCGGCGCGTGCGTTTGATACTATCAAACATTATTTTCCTCCCCTTCTAATCTATTTACACGAACATCTAGCATTTGGCTTTTATTGGCCATATTTCTCTTAATTAAATTTTACCTTTAGAGCTCCAGATAAATGTTTAATATATGTGGTACTGCGTTCAATGTGATATTGCTGTTGAATCAAGAAGATTTATCCCAATTACGGCGATGTTGGCAACTTCTATTGATACAACAGCATTTTTTTCCCGTGAATCGTGGCGTATGTCAATGACGCATGATGCCGGGACGCGTCGCGCCGGCGTTGGTGTCATTCGGAACGCCTGTCGACTTATCGGGCGCGTGTCCAAATTGTCGGGTGTTATCAGTGCGATGAGTCGGTGCGCCGCTCGACATGCGTCGAGATAATCGATGGCGATTGCAATATAAGCGTCCATCAAGCAGACGGTGCGTTTCCTCCGATGACGCACGACGCCGAATAGAACTTGAAACGCACTGCTGACAGTTTCCCCAACGATCGACCGGCCTCGTCTGTCTCGCGCAAGTCTTCAGAAACATTCCGATACCTTTCGACACGTGTGGTATAATTTTAGCTGCAGGACATTGGTTTCGTTTCGTTTCTCATCTTGGTGTAAAGTTCTTTGAGGCTACGACGTGAGGTCTCGAGAGGACTCCAAGAATAATATTTGTACAATATCTTTTTCGGGACAAATTTTTGTTAAAGTACTAGAGATTGCGAGTAAACGCTTTAACTAAGTACTTAAATATCTTTATCTAAATATTACTTGATGTTTTTACCATTTTTTCTTATATAATAAAAACAAAATCGTCGGTACACGGAGAGAATGTTGTACTAAAAATTACAATACAATTTTTAATAATCCGGGAATAGATTGGCATTATTACGAAAATTATAATAAAACATAGTAAAAATTACCATAAACATGACAATTTTTACTACATTTATAGTAATCTACTATATTCATGATTTTTTACTATATCTTATTATAATTTTCATCATAGTGCCAGTCTATTCCCGGAGTACTAAAATTGTATTGTAATTTTTACTACAACATTCTCTCCGTGTAAAGACTCCATGCCATAATTAACATTGATAAAAATTTAAAAAATTATCGTTTGATATTAGCATGTAACATCACCTTAATTAAAAAATCGCATACGATTTAATCCTTAGGCTACGGCGTTATTTTTATCAACGTTAAGGAACTGTTGAAGCTGAGAATTTTACTGACAGAATATTTACATTTTTCTGCGAAAGTTTACGTCACATTGGTTGTACAGAATTATAAATACTTTTACTACGCAATAAAAGTACGTGTAAATAGGAGCATTGCTCAATATGTGACGAAAACAAAGAAAACATTTTAATATAAAATCTCAAGAGCAGTCAATTAGCGTAATATTTGCCTAATATAAAAGTTTCGCAGCTTGTACATACTGAAAATGTCGATATTCCAAACAGAAAAATTTTGAAAAACATTGTTGTACCTTTGCATCTGAAGAAGCTTAAGAATATTGGAAAAGTTTGTAGAAAGATTCTTATGCGTGGTTAGGTTCTCCGCTGAATATGATAAAACAAAGTAACACACATTTACATAATTTTTATATGTACAAGAAATATGAAAAGGATTTTATATGTACAAGAAATATGAAAAGATTTTATATGTACAAGAAATATGTACAAGAAATATGAAAAGGATAGCGTGATTGTGACAATCGTCTCTGCGCTATCAACGTTTTTCGAGCTCGATATCGACTCCAACATTCCCTTAATTATGATGTCCTTAATTATGGAGTCCTCTATTTTGTTTTTATTAATTAAGAAAAAATATGGTAAAAAACATGAAGTAATATTTAGATAAAGGTTTTTAGATAAAGTGAAAGAAAATTCACCATAATTTGCCATCAATGAAAATATAATATTATCACGTCGAGTTTTTCCCACATACATACGCTTACAACGATAGCAACGGCTCAACGAAGCTGCGCGACGATCGTAGCGATCTTGCCGACCGACAATATTACAGCATGGGCTTCAGGGAGAAAGAGAGAAAGGGTTCGCCAATAAATTATAAACATCGATAAACCAGGTGGCGACAGATAACCGAGCAATAGCCTGCCGAAGGTAAACTGCTCGTCGGGGCGACCTCGTTATTTTCCCATTACGAGGGGACAGTAGAACGATGCGATACGAAATCTTCATCGCGCACTCACAGATTCAACTCCGATATTTCATCGTTCCGCATCGGGCAAAGTCACGCGACGTTATTTCCATTCGTTTTCATCGCTCTTCGTTCCAGGAGAAAAAACAACATCACGCGAGGGATATCCGAAACGTTCCGGCGCTCTTCTTTGGTTTGCCAATGGCGCGTTTGCCTCGAGGTCGCGCCTCGGCAATTCGCGTGAGCGAGAATCGCCGAAAAATCCCGCCAGCGCGTCTCATCGAGAGAGAGAGAGAGAGAGAGAGAGAGAGATCCCCGCGCACTTCTCTGTAAATAACCGCCACTAAAAATAAAGCGCTTGTCCGTTGCCGACTTTGCGGAGAATCGTTTGCTCGCGCGCGCGGCACCGCGGCCGCCACCACTGGCTCTGTTGTCCGAAACCGTTGCCACGAGCGAATTTACATGATCGACGACCTCATGTTTATTCATGTAACTCCGCATGGTCCAATTAATACACGTCGTCGCGATAATTACTGCCGCCGGACGTATATTCGCTCCGGCGCGCGATGTCCATCGCGATCGCGTACACTTATGGTGACGCGTTATATTCATTGGGATTCATCGAGGTTTCGCTCGCGTCCGATGTCGTCGTCCTCACCGCACCGCGCGCATACAAAATACTACGCTCAAGTAGATGTTAAGTTTATATATCCGCAAATTTCTGTCATAAGTTCATCGAAACATCGAGTATCATTCTATCGTTGAGAAAAGCTGAATTGAGAAAAGTCGAGAAATTGCTCAGTTCATTTTTCTTCCTTTGAGTAATGCTTATTTTTAGGAATGGATCGAAACCTGATTTTTAAGTTCTCGAATTTTGAATCCGAAACTTTGCGAGGTTTCGTAACTCTCGGAATTTGAAACTACCCAAACCTAAAATGCTAATTTAAAAAAGAGAATGTAATTGTGCATAAAACAGGTTCCTGTGTAATTACATTTTTCACTAGAAAAATCAATCTTTCAAGACTTAAAACAGATAAATATGATTATTTTTATTGGTAGAAAACAATTTTATCAACATTTTAATGTACAATTATCAAAAGGAGTAATTTTTTATTAGGAACCGAAAACTCAAAATTTTTTTCGAAAAATGAAATTTTAAATCTTTAATACAGGGACTAGAAATGCAACAAAATTTTCGAGAAAATCAAGTTTTAAATATTTGTTAAGCATAATTAGATAGAATATTAAACGTAAATATATGGAAACTAGATGAAAATAATTATTTTTGAATATAAAAAAAGACTACCGAAACTGGCACCTCTGTCTCAAGTTTCGAGAGTTTTGAATCACAAAAGTAGCATGAAGTTACGAGTTCGCGAAACTTGAGACCTTTCAGAATTTCGAAAAGTTTCGAGATCTCGAAGGGGTTGGTTTCGAATATCCCATGCGCCTAGTTATCTTCAACAAAGAGTTTTCTCTTGATAATAGTCTTTAAAAAAATATACTCTTTACAAAGTTTTTTAGGAAAACTTATTATCATACCGACAAAAAAGATATCTGAAAATTTAGTTGGATATGAAGTTTATTCACGGAGAGAAATAAAATTTATCTCACAGAAATAAACTTTACATCCTACAAATAGGTGTTCGAGTATTTTTTTCAGTGTGTGTACTCAAAAAGAAAAATGTATTCTAATCTATTGTGAAAAGTTCTGAAATTAACAATAAAAAAATTTACAATAAAGTGTCTATAAGATCTGAGTGTAGAAAAGACGTGCGCGATATATGTATTA